ATCATTATATATAAAAAAGAAATCAAAATATTAATAAAAATGATAATAGTATCTCAGTGATACTGAAATAACTGTTTATAACCTCTCACTTAGAGAAAGCTATTAAGAGAGTCCGAGATGCATTGGGACACAGGGCTCTGATCGGAGCATTTCCCATGTGTCCAATGAATATTCTTCTCAGTCATACAGATACTGTGGGCCTACGTAGAGAATAATCTGCACTTTATCCAGCACTATTCTAGGGATCTCTACCCAGTAACATCAGACAAATGTACACAGGCACCTTGGCTTCAGGCATGCAGATCTCATCACACAAACACTCAGCGATGGGTTCACAGGGATGCTTTCTTTAGCACTTCACGCCTTTTTGACACTGTGACATTACATGCATGTGTATGTCTAGTTTCAGAAGTCCTTACCTTATGTAAAGAATTCAGATTATTTTCCTACAGCACACGCTGATTCAAGGCAGTTTTATAGGTTCATACATTTTGATAATGAGCCATAAAGTCTGCCTTAAATATGAATGATGAGGAATACATTTTCAGAGAGAGGTTCATATGTCTCAGGAGTTTCTCTTCAGAGATGTTTTTTCTTTTTCTTTTTGTCCTTAAATCTGATGATGCAGTGATTGGAAGCTTCATATCAGAACGATAACTAGCAGTAAATTGAATCACATTCATATGCAAGTTAATCAGGTTAAACTATTGAAAATCTTTAAATTATTTGATTGATTTCATAATTATGTAACTGATCATTGCTGTACACTCACATCTCTCAGTCAGTGTGAGGTCAATGGTGTGACTGCATTACCTGGCGTGCCCTTTCCCCGCCAGTTAATCTCCCACAAGAACAGTATTTAAATGAACGTGTAATACTGATATCCACAGATAAAGGGAGAGAGAGGGATAGAAATCCATCTAGCCTCTCACTTAACCATCATTACATCATCCTATACACACAATATCACACAGATCTTGTTCTCAAGAGATTAAAGCCATTCCATTCCATTGTCTCTGCTGTGCTTCAGCACATTAGCATCCTGTCCCCGGGCCATAGTCAGCTCATCAGATTTGACTATAGGGACATCCCCACTTAAAAAAGAAATTGCATCTGATTACTACAGTGAGTTCATTCTAGTATAATCAAGCGTTACATATTTTTAAAAAAACATTTATATATTAAAAATAAACAAAAGCAAAACATGCAGAATTATTATTATTATATAAAATTATATTGTTACAATATTACATTATATTTAACAATAAATGGAGTATAATTACATAATTTTAATTTTTGTTAATTGTATGAAGTTTTTTTTAATTATTGTTTTTATTAGTATTAATAGTAACAGTAATAAATTAATAAATTATAATTTATTAAGATATATTTTAAAATTATATATAATATATAGAAATACATATAATTCCATAATATTAATTATTACTATTATTTAAATGAAGTATTAAATATTTTAAAAAATATTATTATTTATTAGTATTATTGTTGTTGTTTAATTATTATTAATACATTATTATTTATTAAGATATATTTTAAGAACCTATATATATATATATATATATACACATTATTTATATATTCATTTATATATTATACTGTAATATATATTATCATTATTATAAAATGATATTGTAAATGTTGTTGCACAGTATGTATTAGAGCGTATGTATTAAAAAATATACATATAATGTGTATACTATTAGGGATATGCCGGTATCAAATTTTCATGTTGCGATTAATTGCTAATGTTTTTATCACGGTATACGGTATTA